AGTGAGGAGAAATGGACAGAGAACAAACCATTGGGGTTGGTCTTGGTTTAAGCCAAATACAATGGAAATATAAGGGGACAGCCCGGGAAGGTGCCCTCCCAGCATTGACCTCCCATCTGTTGGGAAGACAATTCTTCCGTGTTCGCCTCTCAGTGGAGCACAGGTGACAAGAGTGAGAACTTGTGGTTGAAATGGAAATGAGGAAGGAGTAAAAGGAAAAAGTGAAGTTCAACCTGACCCTGATATACAGGGCCAACAATATGGGTGACCCTCAGGCTGTAAGGATGTCCTTGTCACAGGCAGGCAACTCCCAGACCTAGAAAATGAGAATAATAATACTGACAAATTGGTAAATGGAAGAGATTTTTATTAGGAGCATGTTACTAACACATTGTCCTAGCCCATTGCTATATATGTATTTATGCTGCTGAGTTCTCAGCCTCAAGGCATGGGGTCAGAATAGCAGGGGATTTTTAATAACCAGCTCCTCATTGAGACAGATGATGGGCCTTGCAGCTCCCAGACAAGGAAAGATAATTGAAATATGACCCAAACGAGCAGGAATTTACTTGAAGCTTTACCTTTTTTAAAGAAGTGAGATTGTTGCCTTAGATTTGAGGAGCCTCAGGGGTCCCCGTAGAAGGTGAACATCGTTAGCATGATTTGCTTCGTGGGCCTGGGAGCCCTCCAAATTCCCACCTGCTATTTCTTCCTTTGAGCACGTACCACGTTTTTCAAATCAGGCTTGTCAGTGTATAGTAAGAACTGTCCTCTTCTTCAGAGGCTGAGAAGAACACAGCAGTAGAAGGAAATTCCCCTACAGCCGCCTGAGAGGGAGGGTGTAGAGGGAGCGGACGGCAGGGGGTGTGGAGGCTCTGCACCACGGGAGATGGGTGTGTGGAGTGTGTGTGTGTGCCCTCCCGCCTGTATGGCTCTGGAAAGAGACCTTCTTCTAACAGGGACCCCTCTGTTGTTGTGGCTCAGAGCTTTGACTTGAGAAGCATACTTTCCCAGTGATGCCACTGGATTCCTGATGTGTGACACTCCCGGGCAGCATCGTGAAGGGTGCTGTTGACTGCCTTGGGAATCCCAGACAGGGACACCATTGTGAGTCACATCGAACATGTGAGCTCCCCTTCCCATGACTGGCGCTATTCTTAGTACCGTTTTCTGCTCTGGGGGACAAAGGTCACTTGGATCTCAGTCCATTTGGGTAGGTGGAAGGGGCTGGGCACAGGGATGAGTGGGAGTTGCAGGGGGAATGGAGGAAGAGGCCTTGCAAGTCTGGGATATGTTGGAGCAAGGGCAAGGGATGGGGCCCTGGAGCCCTGTGGACCTGGGCAGACCTCTGCTAAATGGCACAGAAACACCCTCTAGAAGAGTTTTAACTGGGAGTGCTAGATTCTTTCATTGTCTACACCAGTCTTGGGCGTAAGAACTTCTGATGGGCCTGGATGTGGATGTCGCTGGTGGATCTGTGTAGCCAGTGTGTCTTCCAACCCCAGAGCCGCCTCTAAGCCGTGGTTTTACAAGTGGCCCTGAAGTCCCCTTCCAGACCTGAAGTGAGGGTGATGCATTGCTGTGGAAATAGGCTCCTGTGTTAGACCATCCACTGGCCCAGCCAGGAACTGAGCCCATCCCTGGCCCAGCGTTTCTGGCTAGAAGAACATTTCCGTGCCTTTCCTAGTTCTCTTGCCCCCCACAACAAAAGGACAGTTTGGGAGGCAGCAAAAAGGTGCTAGTGGGGAAGCTTCAGGGGCCATCATGAACTCCTCTTACTTGGAACAAAAATGTGGGCTTTTTGAAGGGTGAGCCCTGTGTGCACCAGTTAGGCAGGAGGGGTTTCTCTGCAGGAACCTGGGGAAGGAGCCTGGAACTGACATCTCTATTATGTTGACTTTCCTATTGTGAAGCCAATGGGAGAGATTTCTTCCCATTCATATTCCCATTACTTCTTTAGGTATCTGCTTTTCCTCTCCATCTTCCCTCTTTCCTTGGGTGCAAACAGAAAAAAAAAAAAAAAGAGTGAGAGAGCTCTGCACCTAAGACTTGGGCTTCTAGGACCTAAATTTAATTTTTTTTTCCATTCCTTTTGAACAAAGGAGGAGTCACAATGAAGAAAAAAGTCCTCCTACGAGTACTCACCCTGACCCAGACTCACCCGGTCCAATACGCTGCCATCACAGAGAAAGGGTGGGACGGACATCTACAGCCTACAACTGCTTGACTTTTCAATTTGGAAAATGCACTGGTAGAAAAGGAAAACTGACCATTCCATCAGGGGGCTCCTCCTCTGAGAGCTGGTGCAGACCATGTGAATTGAAGGCCCCTTCTCTGCGTTGTGGCTGCCAAGTCCAAGGGCTGGAAACCGCAGTGTGCTCCTGGGCCCTGCTCTCCAGCACGGGCAGATGTGCTGACCGCACCCTGCCCAAGACACCCTGGGGATCTCGCTCTTCCCATCCCGCTTGGCTTGGTGTCATGAGAGCCCGTGCCCCAAAGAAATTTTCAGCCAGTGAGGGAGAGGTTCTCAGGTGAACACTGGGAGGGAGAAACAATGAAGTAACGTAACATAACGGCTACCACAAGAGGATGCTGGAAACATCACCTGTGAAGGTGGATGCCGTGGCAGGGGCTGGCACGGCCACTGGTGGTGGGATGACTGGGAGAACCACTGGCTGTCCCGTGTCCTGCAACTGCTGTGAGACGTGGGGAGAGAGTCTTTGAAGTCAGGTCCCCTTACCCCTTGGAGCACTGCACTCAGGCAGGCAGTTTACATGCCAGGCCTTTGGCTTGGTTGTGTCCAGGGGCAATATAGCATTGAGATGAAGAATTTGGGGCCAGGCTGCCTGGGTTCCAGTCCCGGCTACTCCACTGCTGATCTAAATGGTCTTGCAGTGTGTCAGTTTTCTCTGTTGTGAAGTGGTAGAAACAAATAGCACAACAGCTGTATTCACCCCGCGGAGTTATTGGGAGGAATGAAGGAAATGACTGGGGCATCACTCCCAGTATCTGTGGCGTGACATGTGCGGTCCATCATAGCTCTTGTTAGTTTTTCTCTGTCAGGGTCTAAAGCAGCCCCCTCTCCTCTGAGGCTAGGTGGGTTTTCTTGTGCTTGTTAGGATGGCTTCTCAGTGGATTCCTCTGATAATGTCACGGTTCGTTTTGTGAGCCCAGGCAGAGAATGAGTAGCTCACGACTTTCGGCAACTCCCAAGTAACCTGCAAATGTCACTGAGTTGACTACTAAATGGTTTTTATTGAACGAAAGTAGAAGCAGAGGAAGTTACAGCTTTCCCAGTGCAGCCCCCTAGGCTGTTGTTCAAATACTCATTTATTTTGTAGGCGTTCATGGAGTCATTTTATTCTGGAATACATGCAAGGTACGTCTTGCAAGATGGTTTTAAAGTGCTAATGGCATATTCTCAGAAAGAGGAGGTAGAGCTATTTCATTTATTTCATATTTAGCATGGCGAGTGCTGAGGAGGAGGCTTGGAAACCACCATTAGGAAGTTGTTACTGGAGGAGCACTTCCTTTGGCTGTGGGGTGATAGCTCGTGTCGAAGCTGTTTCCTTACTTCAGCGGAGGTTGCCCTGGCTCTTCAAGTCCAAAGGCCTGTGTACTAGACCCAGCACCACCATTTTGCTAGTTGTGTCTTGGAGCAAAGTTACAGTACTTTGCTAAGCACTTTTTCTGCACCAATAGAAAGGAAACCATACGACCACTCGTGCCTCTCCTTACAGCGGACGGGTTGGGTGTGGATTTTAGGAGCGAGCAAAATGATGCACGTGAACATGTCTTATAGAAATATGAGACATAACAAGATATTACCCTTATAGATTATGAATGCAATTTCTTTTTTAGATCGAGAGGGAAACTGAAGTTTGTTTCCTATTGAATCTCACTTTACTTTGAATCAGACAAATTTGCAACTCTGGTGAAAAATCAGAGGCTTAGTGAGCAAAGCTTTCCTGTGTGAGCTGGAGCTTCCTGGGCTGTATCCAGAGACGTGGACTGGGTCATTCCCAGTCCTGCTCTGCCCAGCTTGTTTCTGTTATACAGGGCAGTGTAGGCACGTAACAAGCAGCACAGACTTTTGAACCGCTATTTGTCTCTCTGCCTACACCCATCAATTAAGAATCACTGGTGACATTGTCATTTCAGATGAGAAAAGTATCCTAAAAGTAAATCGGTGTGAAACAAACCCTTTAGCGTAGAATAAATTGACTATCAGAGCGTTTATGGCTAAGACAGAGAAGTGTGTGTGTGTATGTGTGTGTGTAATTTAGAATACCCTGAACCTATGCAGAATTTCTGAGATAGTCCTCATCTGACCTCTGAGGATTTCCTGGGTGACAAGTTAATTCCTCAAATAGTAATGAGGCTTCTCTTTTTTTCTTCTTAGTTTGGGTGCTTGCCTGGAAGGGCAGGGTGGTGGCAGTGGAGAGAAATATTATGACAAACAGACATTCAGCATCTATTTCCTTGTGAGAGGCCTGAGGATAGTGATCCTTCCTACTCACAAGTCAGGGGCCAGAGGCTCCTACTAGAGAGCAGTGCTTATGAGCCATAACTCCTGCTCGGAACTGGCAAAAACATTCATTCCTTCGTTAATATGTTTCTTACTTCTGAAGGCAAAAATAATGACTTTGTTTTTGAAGGTGCAAAAGATTATATTGCCTTAGAATATCCCAGAGGACAGGCCCAATATTCTTTTTCTAGAATTTGCTTAGCAATAAAAATGAACTGATCCTTAAGTTTATCAAAATAAGGCAATTGATACATTTTCCTCCATGCTTTCTTTTTTTTATAGGGAGGCCTTTGTCTTTTCTGTCTGTTGGAGCTCCTAACACTTCCTCCGACATGTGCGCTATCTGTTGCCTTCATTTTCTCCTGGCTGGATGGCCTGGGAGAAGGGGGAAGTGGGAGTGCCGTGTGTGGGGATTAGCTGCGGAGAGTTCTGAGTATCTGGTGTAATGATTCACAATGGCTTGTGTTTCTAGGCAGTGGACCAATCCAGCTGTGGCAGTTTCTTCTGGAATTACTCACTGATAAATCCTGTCAGTCTTTTATCAGCTGGACAGGAGATGGCTGGGAATTCAAACTTTCTGACCCAGATGAGGTAAGGAAGGAGGGGCTTGTGAGTTCTATGCTGAGGAAGGATGAGAGAAAACCCCTACAAGGGATTGTGTGGACCTGAATGACATTTTCCAGGATTGGGATCCCAGCTCTTCCACTTGCCGCTCCTGGAGCAAGCTAGGCAGCCTGTCTGAGCCCCAGTTTCATTATTTGGAAAATGGAGAAAATATCTATTTTGCCCATTTGTTTTACAGGATTAAGTGATAGGAGGCACTGATGTGCCTGGCAGCAGGTCGGCCGCCACCCATAGAGCTGCCTTAGTGACTCAGCCTCCTCATAGCCCCATGGTTCTGTGAGTCCGAAAGGGCCCAGACAGTTCACGAGGCCATGGGAGATGGGCTCATTAGTTTCTCCTTTTATTACACACATGCTTATGGAGTGGTGGTTCTATGCCGCGCCCAATTATGAAGATAAAAAAAATGAACAAGAGAGACAATATCTTTGTTCTGGCAGACAGGAGAAAATATTTATGCCCTGGTATGGAAAAAAAAAAAAAAAAAAACACTTCCTGTTGATGAAAGGCAGGTATGATTGCAGCTCAGCCCCTCCCCTTCACACCTGCCTGTTAGATTTCATGTTTGCGAAGCAAGGAGATTTTACTAATAATATGGGGAAAGAGGAGAGTGTATAGTGTGGCTTTTCTTCTTGTTTGTTTGTTTGAAGTCAAATATTTAATCCTGTTACACAAAAGCTTAGGGTCACTGTGTTTTCATCAACTGAAAGAATCATTGTGACTCCCATCCCTGCCCAATCCATCCATGAAACATGGAATTCAGAAGAGATAAACTAGAAAAATATTTTCTATATCTACGTGAATCCCAAATTGTCTTACTTGAGTATCATGGTTCACCGTGAATGGGTATAGAACATAGGCATACAAACATATATATTTGGCCAATCTTGTAGATTTTTACCTATTCCTCCTTTATTTTTCTTTTTAAATTTCAGGTGGCCAGGAGATGGGGAAAGAGGAAAAACAAACCTAAGATGAATTATGAGAAACTGAGCCGTGGCCTACGCTACTATTACGACAAAAACATCATCCACAAGACAGCAGGGAAACGCTACGTGTACCGCTTTGTATGTGACCTGCAGAGCCTGCTGGGATACACCCCTGAGGAGCTGCACGCCATGCTGGATGTCAAGCCAGATGCCGATGAGTGATAGCACTGAAGGGGCTGGGGGAACCCTGCTGAGACCTTCCCAGGACAGCCACGTTGGTTGGACTCTTGAATTTTTAATTGTTATTCTATTTTTTATTTTCCAGAACTCATTTTTTACCTTCAGGGGTGGGAGCTAAGTCAGTTGCAGCTGTAATCAATTGTGCGCAGTTGGAAAAGGAAAGCCAGGACTTGTGGGGTGGGTGGGACCAGAAATTCTTGAGCAAATTTTTGGGAGAGGAAGAAGGGTCTTCTCAGAAGCTTGAAGGCTCTGGCTTAAGAGAGGAAGAGACTAATGTGTCCAATCATGTTTAAAAATCATCCATGAAAAAGTGTCTTGAGTTGTGGACCCATTAGCAAGAGACATTGTCACGTCAGAACTCATGAAACTGATGTAAGGCAATTAATTTGCTTTTGTTTTTAGATCTGGGAGGGCAAAAAAGAGGTGGGTGGGATGAAACATGTTTTGGGGTGGGATGTACTCAAAACTGAGAACTATTTACCTTTCACTCTAGTTTTGAAACAAAGATGGACTTCGGTGGGGAGGGGCCAAAACCATTGTTGTGTTCAAATTTATTTTATTAAATTTTGTGCCAGTATTTTTTTTCTTAAAAATCGTCTTAAGCTCTAAGGTGGTCTCAGTATTGCAATATCATGTAAGTTTGTTTTTATTTGCCGGCTGAGGATTCTGTCACAGTGAAAGAAAACTGTTTATATAGACCCCATTGGAAAAGCAAAACGCTCTCACTGAGATCAGGGATCCCAAATTCATGGGACTTATAAAAGAAGGACAATTCATGCTGATTTGAGTACAGGGGAATGATGTGTGTGAATGTCATCAACAATTAAAAAAGTATTATCACATTCCTTTACTTACTTGTTATTAGTGGATTCTCGGGGTTTGGACTTAATGTTGAGTTAAGAAGCATTAAGTCTTTGAACTGAATGTATTTTGCATCCCTGGTTATGGACCACAGTAAACGTAGGAGCACTGTTGAAGTCATGGAAAGGAAATCGAAGGAGGAAGATTGACTTGGTTCTTTCTTAGTCCTATACCTGTAGCATAGATGACTTGGAATAAAAGCTGTATGCATGGGCATTACCCCTCAGGTCTTAAGAAATAAGTCCTGAATGCATGTCGTTCTAAATTAGCACCCTGTAATTTTTCTTTTATGTCTTATTTTCTGAGAATCCTCCATTTTTTGCACCGCCCCCTCCCCACTCTGTTATTCAGTAGAGAGAAATGTACGGCTTTCTGATTGGTGAGTGAAAGAGTAACTGGAGACATGACATAAGTTGAAGAGTTTAGACCTGCTGAGTTTTAGAAGCGATGGGAATTAAGAGAGCATTTCAATAAAGTGTGATTTGGCTGTCTTTGGAAGAGAAGCGCAAAGCTTTCCTTTGAAGAATTTAAATTAGTGCGGTAGGATGTCAGGTGAGACAGTACATGCAAAGTGAATGGTACAGGTGGTGCTAGGGCCTCATGCTTGGGGCTGATGTCTTGGCACAGGGTAAGTGAAGGTTAATTCCAGAAGAGAGGAATGACTTGAAGGCAAAGGAAACAAAGGAAGGAGGTTCAGTGAAGAAAATAAGGTTGTCCATGAGATTTGAATAGATTTTTAGTTCCCCCAAATTTTAAATACAAACTTAGTCAAGCGAGGTAGTCATCTTTCTGCTGGTTGTGAGGGTGGATCTGAAAATGGAGTTTTGGGGGAAAAATCAACATCTAACTAGTGAGGAAAAGTGCCTAACACAATTAGAATCTCCTCACTCTATAGTTGCCCAGTTGAAAGGATGAGGAAGGGGGGCAACTTTATGGACTTCCATGAGAGAACGGAAGAAACATTTCAGATGCGCTTCTCAGGGCTGGCCCTTTTTGGGATTTGGATGGGAAATAGGAAGTACTAACTACTTTCTAGCATATCTTCAAGAAAGTTGATTGTTGTTTACTCCCAGATCCTCTTGAAGACCCAGAATTATCAGGAACATATAGCTCTGTGATTCATGAGTGTCCCCATACTGATGAATTGGAGTGTCTGCATGGAAAGCAAAGGCAGAATTATCCCAGCTGTGTATTTTGATCTTTTGGATGCAGGTGCCTTAATGAAGCTCTCAAAATATTTTAGGAGCTGCTCAGGGAGTGTTGGGTGGAACTGTTTGGACTACATTGTTTTCTCTTAGATTATGTGATTTTTGTTGGGCACTGGCAAAAGGTGTGTGTGAATGTGTGCATGTGTGTGAGTGGTGTGTGTGTGTGTGTGTTTGTGTGTGTTTGCAGACATGCAAATCTGCAGCTGAAATAATACCTGAGATATCTAGTTAAGTCTTTCCACATTTCAATAATGGTTAAGAGTAGAACCAAGGCCGGGTATCAGTTATTGCTTGCTGTTTGCAACCAGGCATAAAATCACTTTCTCAAATCATCCACCTTTCCTGTTAGATTTATGTTGGAAACTCCCCTTCTGTGAGTATAACTCTTGCAATTCCTATAGCAGATAAGATATTAGAAAGTGCCTCCTAGTGCTCCTCCACCTGCCTGTTTGCTGAGATTCCCTTTCTCTCTCGGTCCACCATTTTCAGGATTTGTAGATAGTGTATTAGTTAAGACAGCTTTGTTGATCTGGCCAGATGTTTTTTCTCCTTTGTCCAAAGGCCAGAGATCATCCCAGGAAGAGTGGTGGGTGGTTTATACACTGGAAATGTTGCGTTTATGCTTTTTAAAAACACACGTTAACTTCAGAGGAAGGATGGGCAAATCTGGTCTAGCTGGGTGAAACCCTTATTTTCCCAGAGATGCCTTAACCTTTGTTGGTTTTGGCTTTAGGGTTCAGAGTCACTTTTGTTCCCTTCTCCATTCTGGGGAGGGACTTCCCTACATAGAGCCCTGATTTTGTGGCCGTGGGGATTGGAGGTAGCATTCAAAGATCAGATGTGCTTTTCCTCACTTTGGAGATGAACACTCTGGGTTTTAGAGCATTAACCTGCCTAACCTTCATGGTGAGAAATATACCTTCTCTCTTCTAGTCATGCTGTGCATGCTGCTTCCTCTGTTGGGGTCTATATAAATTTGTTGAAGTCTTACCTACATTCCAAAGAAGTTTCAAGGAACCATAAATATATGTATACATATACATATATAAAATATATATATTAAAATAAAATTATCAGGAATACTGCCTCAGTTATTGAATTTTTTTTTAAGAATACTTTTTTTTTAAGCTGAGAAGTATAGGGATGAAAAAGATGTTATATTGTGTTTGACTATTTTCCAACTTGTATTTTCATATAATTTATATTTTTTAAAAGCTGAAAATTTAAAAGCAAGATAAAAAAAAGGAAAAGCAGGTGCTTTTTAAAAATCAGAACTGAGGTAGCTTAGAGATGTAGCGATGTAAGTGTCAATGTGTTTTTTTAAAAAAAATGCAAAAAAATTCTTATGGCGGAGTTTTTTGTTTGTTTATTTTAGTAGCTGATGCTGGCACATCATTTTGCTGGAGAGTTTTTTATATACTGTAGCCTGATTTCATATTGTATTTTAAACTGTGTGAAATTAAAAACAAAGAATTTCATTCATAATGCTGTGGCTCTGGCTTGATTCTTTCTTGTCTGGATCATGTATTAAAGCAGGGCAAATCTACCAATCAGAGGCAAGCACAGAGGGATGCAGCTCAGTCTTCCTGATCTCAGTAGCTTAGGACCATTGGAGATAGAGATTTCCTAATAAGGTGAGAACTATAATAGGCATATAGGGAAGTCATCAAACATCTCAATCATTGAATATATTGTGTCATCCTTTGTGGAATGCCCCTGGCCTTGTGAGACCTCATTTCTTCACGTCTGAAGGACTAAGAGCCACGTGAAGAAAGTTTTTAATGATTCAACAGATAAACATTTGATCTCAGCTAGGTACCCTTCCTGATATGAATACAGAAAGTTGAACCTCTTTAGTGGATCCTGTGGGCAAGAAAGAGTATTCTTGGATCCACCACTGATACTAATTTTGCTTTTTGGCAACTCGGCCCTTTGCATCCATCTCCTTAGCCCCAACTTTATCGTTGGGGCTGAAGATTGGGAATTATAATATCTATCAGAAACCCCTAGCAACTCATGCCATAAATAGAATCATATTTATAAGTGCTTTGGAGAGGAGTGCTTAGGAACGCATCATGCATGGTGCTTTTTCCTTGTTGCTGAAACTGTAGAAGGTGGATGTTTTTAATTAACACCAACATTTGCAACATGAATCCCAGCTCACAGCTGGAAAGAGAATTTTTGCTGAATTGTTCACAAAGAGAGGTCTGTTTTTGGAAAATCTGTTTCTTCAGGCCTGGAGCTTGAGGTTTGCTGAGTACACGTTAAGCACAGACTGTGTGGTCTGGTGGTCAAGGAGCCGGACTAGCCGCGAAGATGGCTCCAGCCCCCCATCCTGGTCAAGCCACCACCACTCATTGGGAGACTTTGGGAAAATGGCTTCAGGTCCTAATATTTTTGTTTGTTTGTTTGTAGCTTCAAACCTGGGCAAAGCCACAACTCCTGAGCCAACCTGGGGCCACATTCAAACTCTTCCTCCCCTGAATAAACAGCACACAGAGAATAGGTTTCTGCTTCAAGGATTCAGCCAGAGGGCTTTTCTTCAGTGCCAAGTTGCTATTACCCCTCCAAGTACCTGACTTATGCTGACCAGGGTAAAAGCTACAAGATGCACTTGAATGAAGTCAGGTTAGGCCTGCACTTCTGCCACCAGGAGCTAGAGTTCAGATGAGGAGCCCTCAGACAACCGGGCTTGGGTGATTTCTCTTAATACTGCTGAGATCACCGTTGAAGCTGAGGTGGTGGGGGCTTGGAGGGAAGACAATATCTTCAAAAACAATTGCAGAATTTGGGAGGATCAGGTAGGGTGAGGACAGAAGGAGACACAAGGGGAAAGAGGAGGAGATGGTCATACTCTGTAGATTTGACCAGCTTTCAGGAGGTGATGGGATAAGAAAATGAACCAAGTCGACTCTGACAATAGTGCTATGAATTTGGAGCAAGCTACAGCACTCAAGACAAAAAGAAACAAAAAAGGATTGGCAGAGGTGTCTAGTATAATGAAATGTAACTATTTTAACCTGAAAAGGAAAAGGATTGTGATTTGTGCTTTGGGTACGATGAGGCAAACAATGTGAACTAGAGGTCACACACAGACTGGTTCCATGCCATAGAGATAGGCAGTTTGGCCTTCACAGTGTTAGAACCGCTTACCCCACGCAGCCCAAGTGAAGAATGTACTGTAGCAGGGTAACGGGATGTCTTTGGATTCTGGCATTTCTTCATAGCAACCACTGTGGGCACTGAACGGAAACTGCCTCCTTTAGGTGCGTACCAGTCTCCTATTTTCTCTCTCATAGGTCAAGCCCACACATTCACATTCCTGCCTTGTCCCCATAGAATTTAATTTTGTGACCCCTGTGTGGATATCTATCCACATTCCATGTTTACTTGGCATGAAGCTTATTTTATTCCAGAGCCTACAGTGGAAGAGAGTACAAGAGGCCATCAGGTTCATCAGAGAACCATCTGACTTCTGATCCCTGTTCTTTCCGTGACGCCATATGACTGGCAAAGAACTCTGAAAAGTCTCTTTTGATGATGCTGGCTGATGGCTCACCAACTCTGTGAGCCACAGGCCTGGTTACTAAGGGGTACATTTCATACATCAAATATGGGACAAGGACAAAGTCTTCTTTTAGTAAGTGAGCTCTTTCACTTCCATACTGCTTTTCCCTAGGGGCTGCTCTGGAAGGTGGTTTGCGCCTCAGTTCTAGTTGTACAGAGTGCCTTCTCTGGCATGTATACGGGGATCCTTGATCCTCCTGGTGGCTGGATTCAGGACCTGGCCCTTGCCTTTATGGGCATATTGGCTCGGCATGCTGCTGGCATCCCATTACTCTGTGACATCCCTCCATGCCGTGAGAATCCTCACCTAAATAATAGAAGAGAAAAGCATTCCCCTGTCACTTTTTGCAGTGAGGCAGAGATTTAAGGAGCCTGATAAAAGCAGGTGTTGATCAATTGGTGAAAATGCCACAAGGTTTGAAGTTGAGGAAAAACCATTTGATGACAATTGAGAACCTTAAATTAGGGGGTAAAGTGGCTCTGGCCTCTCTGTCCCTTGGTCAGTGCCACTTCCTGATTTACTCAATGTTCTAGTCCCTTTCCCTGTTTCCACTTTCCTGGCAAACACTTCTGTCCTGGAAAACCCAGTTGCATCAGATTGCCTGGTGTATCTCAATGTCCTGACATCCAAAGTAATGATAGCGATGATCATCTGCCCGCAGCAACCCAGGAAATCAACAAGGGCCAGGCTCGTGGCAGGCTCCACAATCCCCAAAGCCTGTTTGAGTTTACCGTCCTATCTCTAATCTCTCTTCCCTGCCACTCAGGCTCTCGTGCTCTCTGGACCACAGCATTTCTACAGAGCTTTGATGTCAGGTCAGCCCTGGTCATTCCATTCTAAGTTGTGATACAACTTAGAATCACAAGGATGTTTTCAGCAGCCTCTTGTGGGAATTAGTGAGGGTCAAGATAGAGTCACTACCTTCTCCCTCTCCACTCCACATGGTCAGCCTGAGCCACTGGCCCTGGGTAGTCACAGTCTCGTTTTAAACTTTTTATAGGCAAACCTGCAGTTTCAGCTGTGACTCTTCTTATATCTTGTCAAAGGCTGGCCCCAGATGTACCTGGAAATAGTACATGTCCAGGGATACTCAAAGAAGTGGCAGTTGTCTTCACAAGCCTGAAAAGCTGATGATGAGAGCTGGTTTGGTCTGGGGTTGCTTCTGTGAAGCAAGGATATTCCTGACTTTAGAAGGAGAGATGAGATCAAGAGCTTCCAGATGATTTTGGAACTGTGTTGTGTTCATAAGGAACAGTCATTGTTCTTACAGATCTCAGGGGAAGGCAAGTTCAAAACTCCAAGTGTGATTGAATGGGGGACTCTCTCTGCCAATCTACTCAGGTAGGCCAACTTTGTTCCACGTGTTCTTCCTTCCATGAGAATAAGAAATTTGCAAATACAGTGCAGTCAGTGCACCTTTAGTGTGAGATGCTTATCCATGTTTGAGGCAAGGTAAGAATGATGGTGAAGACAATGACCAATGTGACCAGTGTTTATGGGTAACAGATATTTCATTCAAATACCTGTTTTTTCTATGGCCAAATTTTCATCATGATAGCACAGAGCTGTGCACGTGAGCCCAAGGGGAATTATTTTCTTCACTGGCTAACCCTGGAACACTGGGGGCTGGGGTGGGTGTGTGAACTCAGCAGAGTATGGATGGAAGGCTGTATTAACTCTAGGCACAGATTTCCCATTTAGAGCAGGAAGGGACCGGGTGTGCCACGTGCATGATGATGGCATGTGTTAGCTGCTCTAGGAACCCCTGTATGTGGCCTCTGTGAAATCTCAGATCAGAGCCCTGATCACAAATTGCCTTCTCTCTGCAACTACAAATAACAGCCAAAGACGTAAAGCCCAGTCAGGAAAGACAATTGAAACAAGAGTGACCACACATCCTAGTATACCTGGAATAGTCTCAGAGTCCATCCCTTGTCCTGGCGTAATGACTCATAGCACTTCCTGTGCTCCCATGATACTTTACATGGTCTCCTAATTAAACCCAATAATGGCCTAGAGGTTGATGAGAGGAAGAGCAAATGCCAGAATTCTAAAATTCTACATTTTAGATTCAAAAGAGACCTTAAAGATGATCTGGTGCAACCTCTTCAATTAGGCATTCATGAGTTCAAGGTTTAGAGAGGCCAGAGGACTTGCCCAGTGTCACCTCATTAACAACAGAACTGGTGTTAGAATGCAGACCTCACTCTTCCCAGATACCCTCAGCCCTATCTCTAGTCACATACTGTACTGAATTTCATCCAACTTCTAGGTGATGCATCCTGGTTTAAAGCTGAGTCTAGTTGATTCAGTATTGATCATGATAAATTATTTCTATTAGTTCTGATGGACACAAGAATCTGCTAAATAATGGTGCTTAGGCTGGGAATGGGAGACTAAGGAAGTTGGATCATTGGGTGGTGGGAGACCTTATTCAGTTTGCAGAGGCTGAAAATGCAGAGTCACTGACATCTCAGTTTACGAAACTATAGGATGTTAATGTAGGTGTCCTGCATAATGACACCACCAAGCAAATTTATTCAGGTAACAAACATTCATTAAGCATCTTCTCTGTGGTTGGCATTGGGTTCAGTACTAGGGAAATCATAAGGAAGATGGTATACACAGTTTTTTCCTTCACTCTGGTTCTAGTAAATTACAATTTATAGACAATTAAAGGGGGAATACCATCCAGTGAAATAACATGATTTGACACACAGGAGGAACCTAACCTGAAGGAATGTATGGCCTGCAGGTGAGTAGAAGTTGCTAAATGGAGGGGGAACGAGGTTCCGGTGGTGGGGAATGTATGTCCAAAGGCTGAGAGGTGAGAAAATGTCTACACTGATGGAGAAATTGGGAGTAGTTTTACAGATCCAGAGCACACAGTGCACGGGACTATGGGCAGGAGGAGACA